TCAACTCCTTCTCCTTTGGAGATACCGAAGGAGTTTCACAAAACAATCCTGATTCGTATTAAGCTTTTAATGAAAAAAACATATATGGCTAAATCCAGAGATGAGAAAGTAACGAATGTTTCTATATTTTAGCGTCACCAGGCATAATAACGACAACACGTGAGTTTTTATGACATAGCTTATTAAAATGTCTATAAATGTGTAATAAAGAGAAATATTTTTATATTACATATTAGCATTATCACCGTCAACATCAACATTAACAAGTGAGTTAATATCAGAATACATTTTTTGGACATTGTTGAGTATGGGCGGATTATAAACTTTTACCTCATGTCTCTTATCGATAGATAAAATAAGCACACTTCCATGTATATAGAATAAAAACGGAAGTCAATAGCCTTGAACAGATATTCATATTTCCTGTTCCGTCAAAGAACTCCTGCGAAGGAAAGTTTTGTTGCTTGCTGCTCCATTCTGTAGGTGTACCATTTTATACTCTAAGTGTGGTAGTCTGTGCATCAAAAGCTTCAGTCAACCATTTATACTACATAAATGGACACATCTGATTCCGTAGGAAAAGTTAAACTATGTTTCACATTAATTTTCAGCTTTATGTTATCGACCATGAATGTTGTCTTAAAATATATCGCCGGTTTTCAAAATTTATTCGATTTAGTGGAATCGAGAATCATAAAGCGCTAAAGAAAACTAAAAAGTTCTATGGGTATCTATGTGATGCTTGTGTAAGAAAGTTCTTTTCTTCTTTTATCTTCTATTTTTTGCGAATATCTTTTTCACCGTTAGATCCACCAGATCATTGTGCATTTATACATGCATTTGGGATATGATAAGCCTTCAAAGGGCAAAAGATGTTCAAGAAAACTAAAATACCTTCTTGATAATTAAATTTAAATCAGCTACGGCGACTCAGAAAATGACTATGAGCATCCTCTGTCGGTCGTGTTGTTAGCAGCTTTACGTTGGTAATTCTAAGTGGCGGTTTCCTGTAGGACGATGACGCACGTGTGTTATCGCCATTTTGGTATAGTGTTTTCTTATTAGTTTTCTTTTCCTTCTGAATTTGCAAGTTTTTTTTCGTCCTGAATTGAGGGAAATCTGCAGAAGTTAGTGCAGAGTGTTTTTCGAATGATTCTGATTAGAATGAAGTAAGGAAATGAGTTTTAAGTACTTTCCCCAGCAGTAGATAATGGAACGATAGCAGTTTTTCGATTGTGGCGACTTTTAGGAAGTTTTGAAAGCATTTCTGTTTATTTCTGAAGATTCCAAAGTTAGGTTTTTATTGTTGCACATACCGAATCAGATAAAAGTAGTTTCAGAAGTTTAAAAGTAGAAGTACGAGAAGTTTGCTCATTTTAGCTTATCCAAGGCGCTGGAAACGGTGTAATTAATTGTCTAGTAAATGTCAGTTAATGGCTAATGAAATAGTCACTAAATGGCATTTATTAGACAACTAATATCATTTTTGCACATTATAAATGAAAAGGTTTTAATGCCTAAAAGTGGCATTCTTTAACGAGCTGGAAAATTGAAAACAAGAGAACTGTTCCTTTTATTTATAAGGAAAGTTCAATTGTCTATCCGATTTCTTTCAAGAAAAGGAATCCCAAATCGAGGGGGTCTATAAGGGTCTCGGCTATGAAAATGATACAGTGTAGGTAGGTAATCGACCATGACGAGTCGGAAAATGGCTATGAGTGATCTCTAGGAGCAATCCTATTGGCCGAATCGTTTTTTCGACTAGATGGGATGAAAATGATATGGTGAATCAGCGAATATTATCGAGCATGGTGAATCAGAAAATAACTATAGACAACCTGTAGAGCAGTACTATTGGTAAAAATTTGCTTTAAATCTCAATATTAATGAAAACGTTTTCTGAAGTCCCCTGGAGACCCTTTGGAGACGGCGTGCATATGCCCATTCGATGCGCCATAATCGATTACCTAACGGGCGACTGATTCACGTCTTTTTTTCGTTTTTTCCACGTTTTACCCATGTGGACTTGCGCTTTTTTCGTGATTTGATCGAATTAGGATTAATGTTTTGTGAATGCGTTAGTATTTTGTTACATTTGCATGGTTTTCCTCGTTTTATTGTATATTATGTAGCGGTTGATGGGTTTGGTTTTCGGTTTTACTTTGCCTGCTGCTTGGTTGTGACACCTGTCGTGTTTGGGTATTGGGAATATTTTGTTCGTTTTAGGCGATAGTCAGGAAGTTGAATGTTGTGCAATTGAGATAACTTCGATAGAAGTGTAATTGTTTGTATAAGCTTTTATGTCCTACTCTTCGATATTTTGAGAGCAGTGCAAGATGAACAGGGTAAGAATCATATCAAACTGTTTTAGGCGAAGACCAACCAAAGGGAGTCTTGAGCTATACAGCGACTGTCCCTGCATAGCTGCGTTCGGAAGATTCAGCTCGTCAGAATAGAGTTCTTTCAGTCAAGGGTCAAGTGAATCGAAGATGAACGTTACTTGTTTCTATACGATAATGGTAAAGTAAAGAAATAAAGCTTTGATTTTATGGATTATATGCAGTACATGTGGAATATTCTAAAACCACAGAATTTGTTGTTATTCAGACGAAGTACTATATTTAGAAGATGAATCTGATTGAAAACACCTGAACTCCAAACATAATTCCAAAAAATAAAGATGAAACAAATGGTTATTCTGCTGCTTCGGCTATGATTTTTTACTCGGAACTCCTGCGCTTGTGCTATTCAATCTTCTATTTTCGAGCTATGTTAGTTTTCGTCGATCTCGATAATTCATGGATGAACATCGACGAGCTCTATCGAACCATGTGTAAAAATCGAAAAAATAAAGAGTGCTGGAAGTTTGAATTTTCCGCACCATACACGCACCAATAATCAATGAAATGTGATATTTTTTACCACTCTATCTTGTTTTTTGAAGAATTTTAATTACTTTCGGTTTCAAGATACTGAAAAAACAAACAGTACTTCGGAAATTTTCGTCTTTATCTCAGCTCATTTGTTGAGTGGTTGACCAAACTAGACAGTGGTTGACCAAACTCGACTATAAAACTCGCAAAGCAGACACTTTACTTGCCAAGAAGCTGTTTGACCGAACGAATGACTAAACGAAGAAGTGAATCGGAGCTGCAACTCAGCTTGACCACATCCTAGACTAACATTAAGCTTCTGGGTTATCTTTATTGTTTTTGCTTACTCCTGGAAAAGCGGACAGAGCCCAGTATCGTATGATTACGACACAAGGCGCAATATCAACAACAAACAGTTTATTGAAAACATAACAGCTTTTGATAACTGGAATCATCTGCATACATAAAAATGTTAAACCTTCGTGACTTTGTATAAGTAATATACATTCTGTTCTTTTCTTTTGCTGAACATTCTGAAGTTGTCGTTTAGAAACGCAGATAGCAACTATGGAAACGACAAGCGCCTCAGTCGATAATTTCCGTTTCTTAAGCAAACCTTTTCTACGATCTTGAGGGCGCGTAACGCATGTACCGAATGGTTTTCACTAAAAATGACTAAGCAATGGAAACTACATTCCGAAAAAGTCTTCAAATGTCCGTCTATAGCACGATGCTTGAAATACAGGTAACGCTTCGACTAGCCCTATATGTTGACGTATCCTCTACGGAACGAAAATTTCAATAAGGTACCGGAAATTCATAACTTTAGCATAGTTACGTTTTTCCAATTTTTATTTATGATTCAATAGGGCTCATCGGACTGAGTAAGAATATGTGTGTTTTAGAGTTTGGAAAACGCTTTTAGGGCCGAAAATTTAGAAAAACTCTAAATTCGAAGTTCACCCTCGGCCTACGATTTAATTCATGAAAATTATCGAAAATTTCCGCTTTATCTTGAGTTTGTAACTTCGAAAGTATCTTTTTCTTATTCTACGTCAACAAACTGAATGTAAAAAATATATTTTCGATGTCAGTCAAGTATGATTGGATGAAAAAATTCGAAATTTGAGGCCCTCAAATTTCGATTTTTGCGCTCTCGGAGAGCGCAAAAATCTTCTGCTGTTGGCGCGAAAAGCTTCGAATGTTTACAGATTCTAGATGAAGTCAATATTTTTACGTGTTTCCACTTGCCATACTGCGAAAAAAAGTATGCATGCGCTTTACGAGATTCCTTTTCGGTCCTAAGATATTGTGTTTTTACTGAAACCTGAGCGATTTGATGAAAATTGGATAAGTCATTCTCGAATAAAATGATCAGTTTTGAGTCACGTTCAATGCAAATTTGGATTTATAGATAGAAAGCATTGGACAATGTAATGAGAAAATCTCTAAGGTCTCTAGGACATTTCTGTAGGATTTATGCAAAACTCGATCTCTAGAAAAACGTTAGAAAAGTTTCTCGACCCACAACTTTTTTAAAATTATTTGACATCGAAAATGTATATTTTACGTTCAGTTTTTTGACGTAAAATAAGAAAAGATATTTTCGAAGTTACAAACTCAAGGTAAAGCGGAAGTTTTCAATAATTTTTATGAATAAGGCCGTATTTTGTGTGGGACTATTGCCACTCCCACAATTGGGTGAGACTATTGCCTCTTCACAATGATCTTCTTTTGTCCTCAAGGCAAAACTGGATAAGTATGGCGACGTTTTTTTCAACTGAGTATCTGAAGAATCCAATGGTTTCTATTTTATACATTTTCAGAAGTTGAATAGTTGAATGGTTCAATAATTGTTTGGTTCGAGGATGAATTTCGAGTTTTTCGAAATTTTCGGTCCTAAAAGCGTTTTTCAAACTCTAACACACACATATTCTTAGTCAGTCCGACGAGCCCTATCGAATCATGAATGCAATTGGAAAAATGTAATTCTCCTTCAGTTTTGAATTTCCGGCGCCTTACCTTAAAAAAAACTTAGTATTGCGGTTGGTTTATACCAGAACAGTTGAAATATTAATGCCGGCGGTAATGCTTTCTCCTTAAGGCCAATGGAACTCTACTACAAGCATGACAACAGCGCGTGTGCATCATACTGGAACCCTGCTCAATTCGGGCAAAGTTTTGGTTACTGGTGGTTACGGATCATCAGGTTATCTTGCTAGTTATGTTGCTAGTTATGAAATATATGATCCATCAACGGGCCAATGGAACACTACTGCTAGCATGGCAATAACACGCGCATATCATACTGCAACCCTGCTCAATTCCGGGAAAGTATTGATTACTGGTGGTTACGAATCATCAGGTTATCTTGCTAGTTGTGAAATATATTATCCATCAACGGGCCAATGGAACACTACTGCTAGCATGGCAACAGCACGCGCAGATCATACTGCAATCGTGCTCAATTCCGGGAAAGTATTGATTACTGGTGGTTACGAATCATCAGGTTATCTTGCTAGTTGTGAAATATATTATCCATCAACGGGCCAATGGAACACTACTGCAAGCATGGCAACAACAACCGCAGATCATACTGCAACCCTGCTCAATTCGGGAAAAGTTTTGGTTACTGGTGGTTACGGATCATCAGGTTATCTTGCTAGTTGTGAAATATATGATCCATCAACGGGCCGATGGAGCACTACTGCCAACATGGCAACAGCACGCGCATATCATACTGTAACCCTGCTCAATTCGGGAAAAGTTTTGGTTACTGGTGGTTCAGGATCATCAGGTTATCTTGCTAGTTGTGAAATATATGATCCATCAACGGGCTAACAGAAGTCTAGTACAACTCTATAACGCCTATATCGAATCTTACTCAAAATGAGTGAGAAGGTAGAACGATTTGAAGTATAGAGCATAACCGTTACCATTTACTTTTGCAAAGACTTGTTTATTAGAAAAGAAGAGTAAATGAGCCTGGTTTTGTATTTTGCGTATCCTGTTTTCAAACTTAAGTGAAGTTATGTGGCTGATAGTCAGCATGTGATACAGCTACAGACATCCAGTTTCATTGCTTGTCGTGTTTGACCGGTTTTCTCTTCTGTACACGATAACCTGCAGCTCACTCTTTCCGAGCATTGGTTTGTATACAATCAGGATTTTTATAGCAGTGCAGAATCCTTAGCACGCCCTTTCTGACTACCGCTACAGTATATCGGTGACTGTAGGCTCCAGTTACCGAGATTTATTTATGTGGCACGTACACGTGTTACCATATCTCCACTTCTTCGAAGTTCTCTACATTACCTTACGTTACCTCACCATATCTTCACTCCTTCGCACTTCTCCAGGATAGAATTACATTTAAAAACACGATAAGAAATATGACTATTTTTTTTAACGAATTTTTCGCTTTTTTTCGGGTACTAGACGAGAGGATACTGCTAACATTTAGCAATATCACAGAATGTGTCTTATCGCTCACATTCTGTAGATTAGTTGACCTCATAAACGAATCGTCTGAATCTCAACGATATAGAAAAGTTCAGAGAAGTGCGAAAAAGTGAAGATATGGTGAGGTAAGGTAATGTAGACCTTATCTCACCGTATCTTCACTTCTTCGCACTTCTCTGAAATTCTCTACCTTACCTTACCTCACCATATCTTCACGATTGTGATAAATTGTAAGCAGATTATCGTATCGAGCAACATAGCAAGTCCAAGATGCATTTGACGTTGCTTAAAGTTAAGCAGAGACACTTCTTTGACGGGGAATGGCATACGTTTTAGACCCACTGACAATGGGAAAACTGAAAAATAGTGATCCTTAGTGGGACACTTTACAAGTGTCCCATTCGTCGTCTAG